TGTTTTTAATTTGGCCTTGCTGGAGATTGAATGGGGTCTTACCCTAGCAGACAAAGGCTCTGCTGCTGACCTGGGCCCCAGGCCCCTGGCTTGTTTTCTGTGTTGTCAGTATTGAGTGGGATATTGAAGTCTTTTTGGTTTTTCAAGACAGAGTTTCTCTGTGTAGCCCTGGCTGTACTGGAACTAGCTCTGTAGACCAGGCTGGCCTCAAACTCAGAGATCTACCTGCCTTTGCCTCCCGAATGCTGACCACTGGGGGATATTGAAGTCTGTCTTATTGAAAGCAGTGCTTTCAATTCTTGTCAGTTTTCACTTTCTGCATTTTGATGATTATATTAGGCATATAACTTCATAATTATTAAATATTATTGCTGTATTCCTCTTTGGTTTTAATTTCTTGGGACAAGGTTTTGCCATGTAACCTAGGCCTACCCTCCAATTTTCTGGAATCACAGGTATGTGTCATCATACCTGGCATGAAGTTTTATTAATATGTAATAATATATTTGACTTGGTGCCTGTTTTTAACTTAAGACAATTGATCTAATATTCATACAGCTTCCTTTTGCTTTTTTTTTTTTAACTGTTTACGTGGAGTAACTTTCTCCAGTGTATTTGTGTTTGGGGAGCTAAAGTGAGACTCTTGTGTGTGTAGATAGCACATACTTAGATCATGTTAATCATGTTTTGGGGCATTCTGCCAATCTGTCTTTTGATTGAGCATTTAGTCCATTGACATTTAAAGTGAGTACATTTTACTATTATTTTCTATATTCCTTTTTTTTTTGGTTTTTCAAGACAGGGTTTCTCTGTGTAGCTTTGCGCCTTTCCTGGAACTCGCTTTGGAGACCAGGCTGGCCTTGAACTCACAGATATCCGCCTGCCTCTGCCTCCCAAGTGCTGGGATTAAAGGCATGCGCCACCACCACCCGGCTATTTTCTATATTCCATAGAGGTTTTTTTTTTTTTTCCCCAATCCTACAGCACTGTCTTCTGTTTAGTTGTTTTGGGGAAGTAACTGAAACCACTAAAATTAATTGTGTGTGTGTGTGTGTGAGTATGTGTAGACAGCTTATAGGAGTTGATTCCCTCCTTCTAGCATGTGGGTCTAGGGCATTGAACTCAGGTCAATCAGGCTTGTGCACAAGTACCTTCACCCACTGAACCATATGACTGGCCCTTTTTTCTTTATTGATATTGTTGGCTTCTTCAGTCACTATTTATTTATTTAAAAACAACAACAAAAGACCAAAGCTGTGGCAGGAGAGGTGGCTCAGCCATTTAGAGCACTGGCTGTTCTTCCAGAGGTCCAGAGTTCAATTCCCAGCAAGCACACGGTGGCTCATAACCATCTATAATGGGATCTGATGCCCTCTTCTGGCAGGTATACATGCAGATAGAACACTCATACACATAAAATAAATAAAAAAGGCAACCAAAAAGAAAAAAGTTAAAAAAAAAAAAAAAAAAAGAAGCTAAGGTTGGTCTCAGGCTGCAGTTTCTTTTGCCACGGTCTCCCAAGTGCTAAAATTATAGGCACTTACCACTAGCCCAGTTGAGGACTGTTTTTCTACACGTGACTCTGAGTTCATTTCATCTGGAAAACATATTTCTAGGAGGACAAGTTTGGTAGTTTGAAATTTACTTGCTTTTGTCATCTGGAAATGTCTTCATTAACCTCCTATCTTCTCTGTGTGTTTTAACACTTTGAGTATACTGGCTCAGAGCCACCTGCCTCTGGAGGTATTTGTACATGTGCATGGTGGAAATTGAACCCAGAGCCTCATGCATGTAAAATACTTACTCTGTCACTAAATTATGGCTCCAAAGGTTTTTGTTTTGTTTGTTTGTTTGTTTTAAATGGAGAATTTACCTAGTATCATGCTTTGTGAGTAAGGTGTGTGTGTGTGTGTGTGTGTGTGTGTGTGTGTGTGTGTGTGTGTGTGTTGATGTTGATATTGTTGGCTTCTTCAGTCACTATCCACATATTTGGAGGCACTGTCTCTCAGTGAATCTGGAGCTCATCTGTTTAGCTTGACTGGCCAATGAGCTCTAGGAATCTCCCTGGTTTTGCTTCTCTCTTTCTTGCTGAGGTTACAGACGTGGGCACTGCCTGGCTTTTCATGAATGCTGAGGATCCAAACTCAATTCTTACTGATTGCACAGCAGGCATTTTATCAACTGAGCCGCCTCTCCGTTCCCAAGCCTGGTATCTTATAACTTGTACATTTTATTTATTATGTATATATGGAAAGGTACACTTTGCATAGCACTGTGTGGAGGTCAGGGGACAACTTGCAGCAGTCATTTTTCTCTACCACGTGGGCCTGAGGGATTGAACCCAGGTCATCAAGCACCTTTACTTACTAAACTGTCTTAAGGCCCTAGCCTAGCATCTTACTGGAAAGATTATATGTGATGAGTTGCTTCTGTCATTGTACTGTGTCTCAGTGCACTTTGCCTTATTTTGAAATTTTTGTAGATGAATACATTCATATCTTCATCAAATTTGAGTTTGTTTTTAGCCATTATTTAATTAAATACTGTCTACCCTCTTTCCTCACTCCCTGTTCTAGGACTGCTACAGTATGCATATAGTTCATTTCATTGATTCCCATGGGACTCTTAGGTTTGGTTTACTTTAGTATTCTTCCTTTCTTACTCAGACTTGATCACTCCTATTTCCTGTCTTCAAACTTATCAGTGTTAGGCTTTTGAAATTGTCTGGTACTTCTCATTTGTTCCTGTAATCTGCAGCTTTAGAATTTCTTTTGGACTTATTCCTTGTTGACATTTCTCTTGTACTCCTCCATCATTTTCCTTGTTTCTCTGCATCTTCCTTTAGGTCTTCTAGCATCTGTGAGACAATTGTTTTAAGCCAGGTATGGCACATATACCTTTGCAATTCTAGCACTTGGTATGATGAAGCAGGGGGATTGCAATTTCCAGGTCCGGTGAGGCCCTGTCTTTTGTTTGTTTGTTAGCCTTTCTCAAGATGGTCGTTTTAGATTCTTTGACTAGTCGGTATGCCATTTGGCCGTCTAGCTTTTTCAGGAACCACTTGTAGGGATCTGTTTTGCTGCTTTGAGTGACCAGAGCTTTGCTGATGGTTGTTCAGTGTCTGCCGAATCCCAGCCCAAGGTATATCCTTGAGGGCTTAGATCTTTTCTCACCTGTTTTCCCTGAGCATGCACACTCACTTCTAAATTCCCTGGATATGCAGTTGCTTTTGAATAACCCTGTTTTAAGGTTGTTCCTTTGTTTGTAGTTTGAGACAGGATCTACCTTGTGTAGCCAAGGCTGGCTTTGAACTAAATCCTCTGGCCTCAGCTTCCTGAGTGCTGGGATTGCAAGCATGTACCATCATACCTGACTACTAATATCCTGGATTTTATTGTCTGGCTCTCAAAAGTAAAAAAAGAGAATGCTGAAGGGGCAAAGTGAGTGTTGGTACTTTAAATTCTTCATAAGTCACTTTAGTTGGAGAGGCAATTGTTTGAATCAGCAGGGAAGACAGGAAGTTTCAACAATGGCCACCTAATTTTGAATAGCAAACCACAGTCAGAGAACTGATCTCTGCTCTGTGGAGGACAGGATACTTATACACTCTTTGGCTTCTGCTTTTGTGTGCAGTCTGCTACAGGAACATGTGGAGGATCACCCACCATGGAGTTAGAGGGTAACAGCTTGGTAGCTGCTACTGTTCCAATGGCCAAAATTGATTACAGTTAACTTCAGTGGGCCGAATGTGTAGTGTACATGGGCTCTGCGTTTGATCCCAGCAAAATTAAAATCCAGTTTCCAATCTATGCCTCATCTTGGAAGTTGGAAGCCTTCAATTGACACCATAGTTCTCAAGTATTACTACCAGACCATTCTGCCAGTGCATTTGCTAAGTGGGGAGAAAGGTTCCTGGTTCTTTCAACCTCAGCTAGCATCTTCACAGAGTTCCCTGCAGTTCTTAGCCTTTTGGGAAGGGGACCGATTGGTCCATTGATTCTCCTCTTAACCTGCTGTCAGTGTAGAAGTCAGTCATTTTCCACAGGTCTCCTAAGCTTTTACTACTTTTTAAGTAGCTATTTTTACACTATTGAAAGTTATATTCATAGTTGTTTTTTTTCCCTTCATCCTCCCTGTAATGTGTTTATTGAACTATGAACTGCTGTTTGTAGTTAAATGACTAGTTAGTGAACTTTGGGAAAGAAACAAAAATAGACTAGTGTGTTGGAGTGTTCCATTTTTGTTGGAGTGTGTTCAGTTTTTCTCCGGGAGTTTGATCTCATTATGTGCATTTCCCTTAGCTGCTTCACCTAGATTGTGAACTTTTTGATTGCTAGAGATATAATTGTATATATGTCTTATTACCAGCTTATTGTTTTCTACCCAGTATATCATACCATTGCTTTAATTACTTAAGTCATTGGTGTATGTAACAAATGGGCAATCATTTGTAATCTAAGGAAGGCACTTACTACTGTGCTGTGCTCCCAAACAGTACATTAGTTCCCCTTTTTTAAATTGCACACTGAAAATGATTGATATTCTAGCTGTTTAGCTGTATCTACTATACTATATTAATGAGTCATAAGTTTATACTTCATTGAGCAAATTTAGTTTACTGACAGTGGATTCTATTATCTTAATTTCAAGTGTTTCAGTTCCCCAGAGATTTCTTAGAGTAACAATGACTGATGAGAATGGTGTTGGAGAATGAGAAAAGTCCACTTAGAATATTCATCTCCTGTCTTTTCTTTTCTTGCTTTTCCTCTTAACTAGTGTACTCTAACTGAGAAAACACAATTTTTCCCAATCTGATATAATCCTCTAGTTATGCAACAAAGCTGTTTAATGTTTGATTAAAAACAATAGGTTCTTTGAATGGTATGTATTCTTAAAGTTCAGCCTGTACACTGAGTGGTAATGAATATTTTTATGTGTTATGTCTTAAGGTAAGCCAGGAGGGGGCAAATGTATATCTATTAATGATCCTGTCTTTCTAGTCCTAACAGGGGCTTTACGGAAATGCATTGTATGAGCGGCCATTCTAATTTTGTGTCTTGTGTGTGCATCATACCCTCAAGTGACATATATCCTCATGGACTAATTGCCACTGGAGGAAATGACCACAATATATGCATTTTCTCGCTGGAAAGTCCGATGCCACTTTATATTTTAAAGGGTCACAAAGACACTGGTAAGCATAGCATGATGTATTTGTGTATTTGAAGACTGAATTACAACCCACCTGCCTTCTTTCCTCATGTTTTTGTCTGTGTTTGTTGCTGGAAACCTTTTTGGACCATCTTAGCTATGTAAATATTCTGTTATAAATTTACTTGCAGATTTAAAGATTGGTATATTCAAATATTTTTCCTTTTGGTACTAGGGATCAGACAGTTTTCATGCATACTAGGAAGCCTCTACCTACCACTGAGCTATACTACTCAAGCCTATATAAATATGAAAAGTAAAGTATTGAGTTATAAAAGGAAGAAACTGTGATATTAATATACCTTATAATTTTTGTTTTCTACTATTTTGTATAAAGAAGTTATTTACTTAACAAAGGGTTTTTGTTTTTTTCTGTCTGGTTGACTGTCTATTAATACAGCAAAGCAAAGACTGGGAACAATGTGTTTAGGGATCTGGTATAATTTTTAAAAGGAAAATACTTTGAAATATCACAGCTCTTTGTTATAAAACAATGTGCAAAACCAGTGTGGTTATGTGTACTTATTTTTATTTTATTTCATTTTTTAAGATTTATTTTTATAGCCGGACATTGTGGCACACACCTTTAATTCCAGCACTCAGGAGGCAGAGGCAGGCGGATCTCTCTTAAGTTCGAGGCCAGCCTCGTCTACAGAGTGAGTTCCAGGACAGCCAGAGCTACACAGAGAAACCCTGTTTTGAAAAACCAAACCAAAACAAAAAATTTCTTTTATTATTTGTAATGAAGTATGTGTGTTTGTGCACAGACACCTGGGTACTGGGCTAGAGGGGGTTGTGAGCCACCAGATAGGTGTTGGGAGCTGAACTCAGGACCCCTGCAAGAGCCTGTGCACTAATGACAAGCCGTCTCTCCAGCCCCTTATTTTATACAGTATATGTAGAAAGTTGGGACATGATGTATAAACACTTAATTCCTGTAAAGAATGTGAAGATCTTTGTGCATATTTTAAATGTAGAATGATATAGATTTTAAAGTTGTTTTTGTTATGGAAAGTTTTAAATGTTTACAAATTATAGACTTAGTATTTTATCGTGAGTTACTAAATAAATACGTGTACCCAGGAGTAAATAGTATAAAAATCCCCTCCATGAGTTTCCATAGCTTTAAGGATTATCATTGGCTTATATTATTTAATTTTCTTCTTCTACCATGGTATTATTTTAAAATCAAAGTCTTGATTTTTTTTTTTTTTTTTTTTTTTTTTTTTTTTTGGTTTTTCGAGACAGGGTTTCTCTGTGTAGCTTTGCGCCTTTTCCTGGAACTCACCTTGTAGCCCAGGCTAGCCTCGAACTCACAGAGATCCACCTGGCTCTGCCTCCCAAGTGCTGGGATTAAAGGCGTGCGCCACCACCGCCCAGCTAAAGTCTTGATTTTTTTTCTATAAGTATTTCAGTATGTAACTTCACAGAATTTTTCTGTAAAGGATTAGTTATTAAATGTTTTCGGCTTTTCAAGCTCTATGACTATTATAACTCAACTCACACAAAAGCATGAATCAGACTGTCTGTTTTTCAATAAAACTTTAGGGCTTCTCACATGATAAGTAATTGTTTAGCCCTGATCTATCTTATAAATTGTCCAAGGTCCTCTTGAACTTATTGTGCGTGTAGCAAGGCCATCAGCTTGTCATCTTCCTGCGTTAGCCTCCTGGATAGCTGGAATTATAGGCTTATGCAACCAAGTCCAATGAAACATCTTTATTTATGGACACTTGAAATGTATGTGCAGTTTTAATTCCCCTGTCACTTAAAAAGATAAAATTGTTTGGCTTTTGTGGGTTGTAAAAAACAAGTATTAATGTGCATTAATTTGCGGATTTCCCCTACCCCAAACAGTGATTGCGTGTATGTGAGTGTCTGTGGGGGTGGGGAGACAATGACAAGGAACAACCTTGGATGTCATTCCTTAAGTGCTGTCCCCCCCGCCCCCCCCTTTTTTTAATTTACTGTCGTACATCCTTTAATCCTAGCACTTGGAAGGTAGAAGCAGGTGGATCTCCAAGTTTGAGGCTAGCCAGGGCTGCATAAAGTTATTTTAGTAGTATTTTTGTAGATGCATGCTACAACACATGTAAGGAGTTCAGAGGATAACACTTGGCAGTTAGTTTTCTTCTGCCATCTTGTGGGATCCAATGATGGAACTAAGATGATCAGGCCTATAAGTATCTCCTCTCATAGAGCTATCTACCCTCACCTTTTTAGTTTTGAGAAAAGGACTCTCAGTAGCCTGAGGCTTGCCAAGTCCACTAAGCTGCCTGGCCAGATAGCCCGAAGGATCTGCCGGTTTTCACCTCCCCAGCACTAGAATTCTAAGCATATCATACCCCTGTCCTACCTTGGCATTTTGTTGTTGTTGTTTTGTTTTGTTTTGTTTTTGAGACAGAGTTTCTCTGTGTAACAGTTCTGGCTGTCCTGGAATCCACTTCTAGACCAGGCTGGCCTGGAACTCACAGAGATCCACCTGCCTCTACCTCCTGAGTGCTGGGATTAAAAGTGTGCATCACCGCTGCCCGGCAGTAGCCCTTGGCATTTTTAATGGGCTTTGCAGCTTGAACATGGGTCCTTGTGCTTGTAGGGCAAGCCCTTTACCCACTGAGCCTTCTCCCCAGCCCCAACTTTTTTCCCCTAAAAGGAAGAAATAACCGTATTATCATTATTACACTTAAAACAAACAAAAATTGACTCAATATCTTTTTCTTGCTTTGAATTCTGACCCTGACAAGGTCCATTTGCCAGTTCCTACCTAATACCCATGAAGGTTGAGTAGCTCACAACAGCCTGTAGCTCCAGTTCCCAAGGTATCCAGTACCCTCTTCTGGTCACACATGACATAGACTCATACAGGCGTATACACATACGCATAAATGGAAATAAGAATTAAAACAAACAAACAAAAAACAAATGGTAATTTAAAAAACTCAATATAATTGGGACCATTTGGGTGAGTGTGATTTTGTGGGACTCTCTGTATTGCCCTTGTGGCCACAGAGCTTATAAATGGCTCAGCGAGGCCTTGTCCCTAGACATTCTGGCACCAAAGCTTTTAATCTTGATCACTGTGTTCCCTCAGCTCCACTGAATAGAATTTTATTGACTAAGAAACTGTCACTTCACAAATTTACTAAAAATTATAATAGTTTCGAAGCTTGCCAGGTTGAGCATTTGTTCACATGAGAATACACTAACTAATCACTTTTCCCCCTTAGTTTGTAGTCTTTCATCTGGAAAATTTGGGACATTGCTTAGTGGCTCATGGGACACCACTGCAAAAGTCTGGCTGAATGACAAATGCATGATGACATTACAGGTATCGTTTCTGTGTGAATATTTTAGATAATAAATGAATATTGAAGATTCTGTGGCATCTTAAGTTGATACCTGTTTTACTCCTAGGGTCATACAGCTGCAGTATGGGCAGTAAAGATTTTACCTGAACAGGGATTGATGTTAACTGGATCAGCAGACAAGACTATTAAACTGTGGAAGGCTGGAAGGTGTGAGAGGACTTTTTCAGGTAATGTCAGTGTTAACAACTTTTATAATACATAATGTACTTCTTACCTGCTCAATTGTTTTATTGTTTTTTCCTCTAAAGTTTAGAAGCTGAAAAATGGTAATTTAAAAAACTCAATATAATTGGGACCATTTGGGTGAGTGTGATTTTGTGTATATTGTAATGCATGTAACTTTGGTATGGAGTTAAACTCTAGCTCTTTGATACAGTGAGGCATCCATTGTCTGATTACTTGCTTATTTATGGACTTTCAGCTTTGGGGATTTGAACCCAATCCCTTGTACTTTAACACATGCTCCTGCTGAACAACATCATCAGCCTCTCTGCTGTCTAACAAGAGTGTCACACTGTTTATTTATTTACCGTAGGCCATTAATATTTGGGTGTGAGTTTTTATTGTTTTTCCTCTTTATTCCTTAAAGGTTAAAGTTGTGGTGGTACGTGCCTTTAATCACAGCACTTGGGAGTCAGAGTCATGTATATCTCTTTGGTCAAGCCTGGTCTACAATTTCTTGAGGGTTTCGGAAATCATTTGAAGAAGATAGAAAAAATATAAAATAACTTCCTAAGACTGGGGATAAACAATGCTAAATGGCCTGATTACCAGACCACTTTCTACAGGAGAAAATAAAGTTTCTGTGACTTGAAAAGTTAGATTTTACTATTCACTTACAAGTTTTATGGGGTTAATAAACTGCGCAGTGCTTCTAACCAAGCAGTGCATTTTATTGGTTTGTATTTTTTTTTTTAAATCCAGGGCACGAAGACTGTGTAAGAGGTTTGGCAATTTTGAGTGAAACAGAATTTCTTTCCTGTGCAAACGATGCTAGTATCAGAAGGTGGCAGATTACTGGCGAGTGTCTTGAAGTGTTTTATGGACATACAAATTACATTTATAGTATATCTGTCTTTCCAAATTGTAGAGGTAAGATTATGTTATGCTATGTATTTAAATTTTTGCTATTACATTCCATTTTTGAGAAATTTCTGTGACTACCTTCATATTAATTCAGAGTAGATGACTATTATAAAAAGCCTTTGAGTGTCTGAGGAGACTTTGTATAACTGATTGGTCCAAAGAATAGAGTGTAAAATGTGAAACAAATAAAAACATGATTTTGAGTTTGTAACAAGTTACAAAATCTAAAATTAATTTTAAATTAGTCATTACGCATACATAGAAAAACATTGCTTATAAATATACTCAATTTTATCCAAACAAATTTTTTCTTCTGTTTTCATTAATTTTAGATTTTGTGACAACAGCAGAAGACAGATCTCTGAGAATATGGAAACATGGTGAATGTGCCCAAACAATTCGACTTCCAGCTCAGTCTATATGGTGCTGCTGTGTTCTGGATAATGGTGACATTGTGGTTGGTGCGAGGTATTTATATTCTAGTCAGTCAATAAATTTTTTGTGTCTAGGTGGTTGGTAGGTACTTGAGTGTACAGAGGTAAACCATAGAAATTTCAGGTGAACTGGAAGGATTGTTTGCACATTTTGTTACTAAGTGAACATCAATAATAACAACTTTTCAAGAACTGGTACTTACTTTGTGGTTTGGTATTACATTATAAATTGTATAGTGAAAACACCAAATGCCAAAGAAGCTGGAGAAAGTAGAGATCTGTATGGGAAAACTTTCCCAAGAAGTTTAATTGGATTTTGAAAGTTGAATAAGAAAAGAAATTAGAAATTTTGACAAGAGAGATAACACAACTTCCATTTATGGAGTGAATGTTGTACGTTTAGAAGATGAGGGAAATACTCAAGGATTAAGGTTCTGGGTATAGCGACTGGTAGGTATGGTGCAGCTTACCTGTGGCTGAGATTCAAACTAGGTCCTTTTGGTGCTTAGGGTAAAAGATTGTAGCTCTTGAGCAAGACATGATCAGATTTAAGTGAAATTTATGAATTATACAGATTGGGTTCAACTAGAGGTAACATTGGAAAGGAAAGCAAACTAGAAATGAATTATACTAGGAGTGTGTGGTTATAAACTGACCTCACAATACTAATGAATACATGAATGAGAAAATTCAGAGGAAAAGGATAAAGCTTCAAACTATAGTATATGGTAATCTCCATTAATAAAAATAGACAAGTAGGAGAATTAATTTGGTTCGTAAAGAAGGTAATACTTTGGCTTAAGACTTGTTGAATCTGAGTTGTGTCTTGCCATACTGCCAGTGGGTCCTAAGTAGTCAGATGGAGTCCTAGTATAAGAACTGAGCCTAAAGATGGACACAAAACTTTCCTTAGGGGAGGAAATAGAGAAGAGGGACAGAAGATGAGCAATGAATCCTATGAAATAATCTGGATGTAGAAAGGTCAGTAGGTTAAAAAGCACACAGGAGTCCAGATGTCAGAATTCAGGGAGATAGAAAAGGTTTTGGAGGAAGCTTAGTATCAGTGTCCTAAGTGTGTGAGAGGTTGAAGAATGGAAAGGTAGAAGAGCATTTGGATTCGTTCTAAAACATGGCACTACACTGTTGTTGCTGTTACATTTTAGTAGAAAATTATAGGGCAAAAAATAAAGGAAATGAAGGAGTACTTGACACAAGAAAAGACTAATGACATTGAGAGCAAGAGGGAAAAGGTGACAGCTCTGAGTGCAGATTTAGCAGACCTCTTTTATTTTTGGTTGGGCCAGGGATTCATTGGTTGACATAGAATATTTCACGAAGCTTGCTGACAGGAAAATGAACCAGCCAAGAAAGTGAAACTGACATTAGTAGAAAGTTAAGGAATAAAGTATTCTATAGAATTCAGTAGAATTAATACACTTTAAACTAGATAGTGTGACTCCCCCACTTTATTAAAATTGACAAAATGTAGTCATAAGACTAAAATATGTTCTTGAGACTATAGGTTGAGAACTATTCTTTAGCCAATCATGAAGCTGTATTTTTCTTTGAGGTTATTTGAGCATTTTGAGTACCTGCTATATGATAAGCCTAGGTTGGATCTTTGATTGTTTTATAAAGTAAACTGACCCAGTAACCCTTTTTGTTTTGGGGAATTTTTATTTGTTTGTTTGGTTTTTGGTTTGTTTGTTTGGTGTGTGTATGTGTGTGGTGCTGTTTTGATTGCTTGTTTTTGTTTTGTTTGTTTTTAAGACAGGGTCTTGCTCTGAAACCTAGGCTATAATTATAAGTCTATGTCACAATGCCCAGCCAACCCTTTTTGATAGTATATGTTGCCTGTGTAATAGTGATTTTTAAAAGCAATTACTGTATTTCTAAATTGTTACAGTAAATATTTAGCATAGAATTCAATATTGTGCTGGCCATAGTGACACTTACCTGTAATCCCAGCATTTGAGAGGCTGAGTGAGAAAATCATACAGTTAAGGCTGGCCTTGGCTATGTATGAATACCTGTCTCAAAACAACCAAATGCTGGGATATAACTCAGTGGTAGAGCACCATCGTAATGGAATCAAGGTTCTGATGGGTTCAGTCACTGGCATTTTTTAAAAAATTGAAAATTATACTTAAGTGTATTTCTCTCTCCTTTGCCAGCAACTTCTTTAAATAGATGAAATAGTAATGTATGTTTAGTCAGCATACTTCTTGACAATACACAGTGATATTTTTCATATTCATGCATACAGATAATTTTCGCCTTATTCACATGAGAGAATGTTCATAAACTGTCAGTAACTTAAATTAGTTTGCTTTTCTTGTAGTGATGGTATTATTAGAGTGTTTACAGAGTCAGAGGATCGAACAGCAAGTGCTGAGGAAATCAAGGCTTTTGAGAGAGAGCTCTCTCAGGCAACTATCGATTCCAAAACTGGGGACTTAGGGGACATTAATGCAGAGCAGCTTCCTGGAAGGGAACATCTGAATGAACCAGGTAACTATTAGAGAGTAATTGTAGTTCAGGCAATGGTGGTGCATACCTTTAATCCCAGCAATTGGGAGGCAGAGGCAGGTGGATCTCTGTGAGTTCAAGCCCGGCCTGGCCTACATAGTGAGCCCAGGACAGCCAAGGTGAAACATAGAAACCCTGTGGGTGGGCGGGGGTGGGGGGGTGGGGAGATACCACTTGCCTTTTGGAATACCAGTAGTAATAAGGGAACATGTTTTGCTAATGTTTCATTTGTTCTCAATGCCAGATACTGATACTTGAGGATTTTTATTTACTATTACACCTAACTGATAAGAGAAGCCATGTTCTTCTTGCTTGTTTTATTGTTTGAACTTGGAAGCATCCATAAAAAACATGTTAAAATTTGTCTAACTGTTTTTGGATTTTACTCTGCCAATCAACCTTTGATTCTTAAAATATTTGTTTTAAGGTACTAGAGAAGGACAGACTCGTCTAATCAGAGATGGAGAGAGAGTTGAAGCCTATCAGTGGAGTGTTAGTGACGGGAGGTGGATAAAAATTGGTGATGTTGTTGGCTCATCTGGTGCTAATCAGCAAACATCTGGAAAAGTTTTATATGAAGGGAAAGTATGTCTACTTCTGCTTTCTAATTATTTAAACTACACAGAATAGTAGAAGTTTTCTCTGCTAATAGAAATTTTTCACTATTTTGACATTTGAAAGTACATTATTGTAAGAAAATTATCTTGTCTTAAAGTAGATTTAATATACACATTGCCGGGCGGTGGTGGCGCATGCCTTTAATCCCAGTACTCGGGAGGCAGAGCCAGGCGGATCTCTGTGAGTTTGAGGCCAGCCTGGGCTACCAAGTGAGTTCCAGGAAAGGCACAAAACTACACAGAGAAACCCTGTCTCGAAAAACCAAAATATATATATATATATATATACACACACACACACACACACACATTAAGATATATATAATTAAAATATTTTAAATATATATCTATTTAAAGTCTTTCCGTGTTGAGGAAACTGCATATGACAAATTATCTTTTAGAATTTCCCATACAAAACTGTTTCCAGTCAGTTTGTATTAGGAGTTTCTTTCATCTAATGCTTAATGCCTGTCTCTGTTAAACATGAGGGACAATCGGGCTGTGCTTATGTGCCAGTATGTCTTGGTGAATAGGGCACCCTAACAGCCAAACATTTTGACCTTGAGATCAACCATTTGGGAACCCCCTTTTTGGATCTAGAACTAATAAGTAGCTATAATTTGTTTCCCATCTCAGCTATCACCTGCCCCACTCCTAATGAAATACTAATTTTGTAACACATGCACACTTTGGCTCCTTATCTGCCAAATAGAAAGTTTTACCATTACATTTTTGAGAAAGTTTTAAAGTCTAAATGATTAGAATAAAAAACACATAACATCTGTATTATGTTATATATGTCTTTAACATAATTGAACAAGTAAATTATCTTTTGTTATCTGTTTTCATTATAGGAATTTGATTATGTTTTTTCAATCGATGTCAATGAAGGTGGACCATCATATAAATTGCCATATAATGTCAGCGAGGATCCGTGGCTAGCTGCATACAACTTCTTGCAGAAGAATGATTTGAATCCCATGTTTTTGGATCAGGTGGCTAAATTTATTATTGATAACACAAAAGGTCAAATGTTGGGACTTGGAAATACCAGTTTTTCAGACCCGTTTACAGGTGCGTTTGGACTTGTATTAAGTCTTGTGTACTAACATTAGTATTAGGGTTGGGTTGTGTATGTGCCCGGGGTTATTTGTTTTGTTTTAGTGGAGATATTAACCAATGTCTTATGCGTGTGCAAGTACATAGTCTTACCACTGAGTATAACCCAGCCCTTGTTAGTTTTTCTTATCTTATAATGATTATATTTAGCTCTTTTTAAATAAAGACTAAGATAGGTTTTTACTTCACATTCTAATTGATAAGCCTCAAAGTATACACCAGGTTTATATTTTACAGAAACATTTATAAAACTACTGTCTTTCAGAATACAGCTTTGTGGGGCTGGAAAGATGGCTCAGCGGTTAGGAATGCTTACTGCTCTTGCAGAAGTCTCAAGTTTGATTTCTAGCACCTACAAGAGAAGGCTCACAACTGCCTATAACTCCAACTCCAGAGAAACTAACACCCTCTTCCAGACTCTTCAGGCGCAGTACACATGCACATAGCCCCATTATACACAGGTCTACACATAATTAACAATACATTAAAAAGTTTTGTGTGTGTGTGTGTGTGTGTGTGTGTGTGTGTGTACATGCATGTGCCATAACACGTGTGGAGGTCAGAGGACAACTTACAGAAGTTGGTTCTCTCCCCCCAGGTGGTTCCCAGGGATCAAACTCAGGTTATCAGGCTTGCCAGCAGGCGCCATTACTCTCTGAACCACTTTACCAGGGCTGGTTACTTTGGTTGGTTTTTGTTATTGTGTTATTTTGTTTTGAGATGGGGTTTCTTTGTGTAGCCCTAGCTCTCCTGGAACTCACTCTGTAGACGAAGCTAACATTGAACTCAGAGATCTGTCTACCTCTGCCTTGAAAGTGCTGGGATTAAAGGCATGCGCCACCATGCCTGGCTGCTCTGGTTTTTTTTTTTGTTGTTGTTGTTTTGTTTTTTGTTTTAAATGTATATTATGGCTGTCTTAGTTACTTTCCTATTGCTGTGATAAGACATCATGACCAAGGCAGCTTAGAAAAGAAAGTGTTTATTTGGGACTTACAGTTTCACGATTAAAATCTATGATCATCATGGTGGAGAGTAATGGCAGCAGGCAGATGGTGTAGCGGTATCTGAGAGTTCACATCATAAGACACAACCACAAGGCAGAGAATTAACTGGAAACTGCATGGCTTTTTGAAACCTTAGAGCCTGTCCCAAGTGACACACCTTAACATGGCCATACCCCCCAATCCTTCCCAAACAGTTCCACCAACTGGGGACCAAGTATTCAAATGCGTGAGCCGTTGGGGGCTATTCTCTTTCAAACCACCACAATGGTAAAGTAAACAGAAATTCTGTTTTCATATGAGGCTAAATTAGATAGATGTACATGAACTCTAGGGCAGAATTTGATCATGTGATTTGTATTCCATTACCTGTAATTTAATATGTTGTCTGTAATAAAAATGACATTAATGGGATTAGGAGTTATTGCTGGCATATAAATTATAATCCAGGAAGTATTACTATAAATATTAATCCAGAAAATTGAGGTATAGAGGAAGCAGAATGTCTTGTCTCCTCTTTGGACAAGGCTTCTTCTAAGTAAAATTTTAAAATAGATATTTACAGTTAATGTCTTCCTTTGGGGATACATGTATGTGTGTGCCTGCATGTGTTGTAGTGGGGATTAACTCAGGGAAGGCCTTGCACATTCTGGCTAGGCATTTTTCTGAGGTCTCCTGTTCCCATTTCTTACCCTTGTTTCTCATGTGCCAGCGCCTGTTGTTTTGTAAAAATCCCACGTCCCCTTCTTCTTTCAAATTCTTACGGTAGATCTGCCCTTCTTCCTCACAAGCACTACATGTTCTTTACATTCTCTTCTCCATCCTAGTGTAAGATCCCGTTGCCTGTTTATATAGTCGAACTAACATAATCGAAGTTTTCATAATAATTTTTAGTATAAATGGCTTAACTCTCCAAATCCTAGCATTTAGCACAAAGAGAAAGGTGGGGGAGACTGCATACTTAGTGCCTGGATGTTTTCGTTGTTTTAGACTGCAGGACACAACAACGAACACATTGTAGTCCTGTAAAACTAAGCACTTGGCTCTGTCTGGGATATTAACAGCTACTCGGCTTATTTTGTTTTTCTAAGATTCTAACTTTATCAGTTGTATTTTTATGTGTGCCTGTAGGGGTGTGTGTGTGTGTGTGTGTGTGTGTGTTTGTGTTTGTACTAAAAAAACATTTCACATAACCACACTTGTGCACATGTCAGTGAAAATGTTTCCTTTGTAGCTCTCATCCCCTGCAGCATTTTTTTTCTTTCAGTTAGAAGTGTCAGAAGTTACAGTTCTGTTTCCTGCTAGATTCTCAGCACTGAGTGCACTGTGTGACATGTGAGCTAAGCAACCTAGGACTTTTCCAAGAGATTAATATTTAATGCCTATGGTTTTCATGCAATAGCAACCACAGGAATCCTAGTAAATCTGTACAGGAACAAGGATAGGACTTCCATGTGTATATCGTTGGGTCAGACACCACCTACAATTTATTATTATATCAGTTATCTCCACATTAATGTGCTGGGGCTAAAACTTCTTTTTTTGGTTTTTCGAGACAGGGTTTCTTTGTGTAGTTTTGATGCCTGTCCTGGATCTTGCTCTGTAGACCAGGCTGGCCTCAAACTCACAGAGATCTGCCTGCCTCTGCCTCCCTTGTGCTGGGATTAAAGGCATGCGCCACCACCATCTGACTGGGGCTAAAATTTCAAAAAGGCATACTTAGGAGCTGGAGAGACAGCTCTTGTAGAAGACACAGGTTCTGGTACCAGCACCCACATGACAGCTCACAACTGTCGTAACTCCAGTTCCAGGGGTTCTGATACCTTCCTCTGATGCACCAGAGGACCTAGGCATAAACACATGGTCCACAGACATACATACAGGCAAAACAAACAAACAAAAAAACCCATACACAAATTTTTTTTTTCATGAAATATATTCTGATCAAAATTATTTTCATGAAATATATACTCAACACAACTCCATGCCTTTTCTTTCTGTCTTTAGAATACAAATAGGCAAACAAAACCCACAAGAATTCACACACATACCAAAACCCATAAAAACACAAAATCGGGAACCATAATATACAAACCTAAGACCAAAAAAAAAAAGTCCAAAGCAATATAAGACAAAAAAGTCTACAAAAATACACAAGTATAATTGAGTTTGTTTTGTGTTGACCATTTACTACTAGGCATAGGGCCTGCCCTGAAGCATAGTTAATATCCCCAGTGAGACTACATTGGAGAAAATTAATTTTTCCTTTGCATGTGGCATATACATAAAATTTAAAAAGAAAAGGAACTATACCTGGAGAACCACTGAAATTTTAATTTCTGTACAGCAGTAAGATATTTGACTATAATGTCTATCATTTTGTCATGTGACAGCTTTGATCTTTTTCTTTTTTCCAAGCTTGGCTTCTTTTAACATAAATACCGTGCTGTTTATGAATCACAGTTTCCATGTTCTTAAGCTTCTCCATTGTTTTGCATGAATAGGTGGTGGTCGCTATGTTCCAGGCACTTCAGGACCTTCCAACACAGTGCAGACAGCAGATCCTTTCACAGGTGGGATGCAGTTTTTATTACCATAATCTTGGCTCCATATGTACAGCATTTTGTATTATATATGGTTTTACATTTTGGAGATATGATCCAATAATAGTTAGTTCCCTTACCTGTATTTTCGGTTTTGATAGATCTTTAACTTCTAACTTCTGCTTTTTCCTGCAGGATGTAGATTTTCTCATGATTTTAAAGAACATGTTACCAGAACATTGTTTTCTCCAGTGGTTCTCCTACAAGGAGAGCAGAGTAGTTAGAAATAGAGGGTTTAATGTAAGATGACCATAGTTCCAACCCTAGCTCTATCATATACTTCTGTGAGAAACTGGCAAGTTACTTAATCTGTGAAATTAGATAGTAGGAGAATCCTCTAACCAAGGTACAGCACCAGTGTTATCGTTGGCAAGACACTATCATAAGCCATGTGAGTCCTTGGTATTGGATGGAGCAGTGCAATCAAGATCTCTCATGCAGGTTTTGACTAGTCCTGGAAGGAGGCATTCTTCCCAGCTATCCAGGATTAATGTTCCTAATCTAAGTTATTAATGGTCTCCTTGAAGTATCATTAGAGGTTTTCAGGATGCGTTTACTTCCTGAGATAGGCAAGCTTCAGTTGAGTCAGCAATACTGGAAAAACATTGACAGAGTTAGACTTTAATGCTATTGAAGAAAGTATTGAAAGTTCAGAGTGCATCAATGTATTTTTTAAACACTATTGTTAGATCTTGAGGTAGAATTCATGAACAATAGACCCAGTTTGGAGGAGAATCATGACCTTTAATGGAATCCAGTGACCTTCCAAACTCAGCACTCTGAGCTATGGAAATGTAAACCTACGACCCTTTTTCAGCTACAGATTGTTTCACTCTAACTGTAGGTCAGCATCATGAAACTCTGAATTTCTCTCAATGAGATTCCTTTCTCTAATGAATAGAAGGATCACCCAGATGCAAGTGGTTGCACCTTGTGCACTGACAGCCAACTCCCAAGCTATGTGCTTTGGCAGTATGTTGTCTGTTAAGGAATTCTTTGAGTACATGATTTGATTTTAAATGGTAATAAGGATCCAAAGAATGTATAAATGATGACCTTTTTTTTTGGTTTTTCGAGATAGGGTTTCTCTGTGTAGCTTTGCGCCTTTCCTGGAACTCACTCTGTAGATCAGGCTGGCCTCGAACTCACAGAGATCCGCCTGCTTCTGCCTCTGGAGTGCTGGGATTAAAGGTGTGCGCCACCACCGCCCGGCGACTTTTTCTTTACAGGTAGTTTTAAGAACATTGATACCCTGAAACTTATCCAACAGAGTTCCATAATCTTTTTCATGGCCTTTTTTTTTTTTTTTCTGAAATGGAATAAACATACCAAGCTTAAACAAATACTAAGAAAATCAAGAGTGCTTATGGGACCATCATAACCAGGAGATGTCCGTGTAGCTTAAGTTTTCCTGCCTGGCCCACAGTCAGGGCAAATCTCTCTCACCTGCCAGTCCCACAGCCGTCAGACCCGACCAAGTAAACACAGAGACTTGTATTGGTTTCAAACTGTATGGCCATGGCAGGCTTCTTGCTAACTGTTCTTTCAGCTTAAATTAATCCATTTTTATAAATCTATACCTTGCCACATGGCTCGTGGCTTACCGGCATCTTCACATGCTGTTTCTCATCGTGGCGGCTGGCAGTGTCTCTCTGACTCAGCCTTCCACTTCCCAGCTTTATTCTCCTCCTTGCCCCGCCTACACTTCCTGCCTAGCCAACGGCCAATCAGTGTTTTATTTATTGACTAATTAGCAACACATTTGCCATACAGAACATCCCACAGCATGTCGGAGCATGGTGTCAGTCACTCAAGATGCATCAAGCATGTAGGCATACAAAGTAGCCTATTAAGTATCTCAGAGAATTAAGCTATCATTAGGATCATTGAACTCCACACATACAAGAAATAGATAACAAAATTATGCATGAAGGTGCACATTTCCCAGCACTTAGGACATTGAGGTAGGTATCGATAGTTGAGGACAACCTGAGCATCATAGTAAAAAGACCCTGCCTTAAGAAACAAAAACAAGGGCTGAAGAGATGGCTCAGAGGTTAAGAGCACTGCTTGTTCTTCCAAAGGTCCTGAGTTCAATTCCCAGCAACCACATGGTGGCTCACAACCATCTGTAATGAGATCTGGTGCCCTCTTCTGGCTTGCAGGGATATGTGCAGACAGAGCACTGTATACATAATAAATAAATCTTTTTTTTTAAAAAAAGAAAGAAACAAAAACAAGAACAAAATGGCAACCCTACCATATGGAGATGTGAAAATAAAGTGACAAATTACATAGAAAGTGCTTTGCAAACTATCAGGAGTGCATTTAGGCCATCAGCATATATTAGCTAGGATTGCTGTTGCTCTTCCAACTTTACCAGTAGTGCTGAGGCCAAAAGAGTTCTTCATGTGACTTACAATTTAGGGTTCACTTTAATTCTTATCCTTATTAATTTATGCAGTAGTTGAACTTTTAGTGTTTATTAGAATGATCTGGGGAGCTTGTTTAAATTACTTATTTCAGTATTCTACCCCCAGCAGTTATAACTCACTATAGTGGGGAGCTTATGTCATGATTCCTCACCAAAGACTTCCTATTGGTGTTGGGGAATGGTGTGCTCTGAGGTGCTTTTCATTGTTGTTTGTAAGATTTCCTATTTGTAAAGTGGAGTAAATTTAGAGTGGGACTGAGTTATATTAAATAGGTAGGCACAGAGGTCATTTAGAGAGTATAGGCCTTGAACAAACTAGTCAACATCCCTTCTTTTAAAATACTGGGCGTTATAATGGCATTTAAAACCTTACTGAGTCTGTACTCATGTGCTTAGTATGCTAGTCAGTTTTCAGTTAAAATCAACAAATCCACTTACTGTGTCATCATTATTCTTATGTACATTTTTGCTTTGCCTTTTCTGTCTATGATGCCTTCCTTGTACCATCTAGATGATATGTAAATTTAGGAAAGAACATAACCTACCTTCCTTCTTCCCTCAGGCTGATAGAGGGCCCTGAACATCTCAAAATCCCGTTGACGCTCTACATTTATTTTTCATCTTTCTGTCTTTAGTAACACTGTCAAAAGTACAACCTGAAAAGTGACTGGACTGTTTTCAGAGCATTCCAGACTCTTGCTTAAGTCTTTCTGATTGATTCATGTACCAGCAGCTAATCTTGTTCTTTGTCCTTAGAATAAGGGGTTCATACATCATTTCCAGAAGCTATTTTTTCTCTTTAATCTACTTATGCTTTGTAATTCACTAAACTTCTATAATTATAATGCAGAAGGCATCTAATGTTTATTTTGTCACTAAAGACTTATTATTTTGTGGGGGCTGGAGAGATGGCTCAGAGGTTAAGAGCACTGGCTGCTCTTTCAGAGGTTCTGAGTTCAATTCCCAGCAACCACATGGTAGCTCACAACCATCTATAATTAGATCTGGTGCCCTTTTCTGGCATGTAGACAGAACACTGTCTACATAATCAGTCAATCTTTTAAAAAAGAATTATTTTTTAAAATTTTTTAATTATTTTGTTTTATATGTCATGGGTGTTTTGTCTGCATGTATGTCTATACATTATGTGCCTGCAGTGCACTCAGAAACCAGAGAGGGTATCAGATACCCTGGAACTGAAGTTATAGATGGTTGTGAGCCACCATGTGGGTGCTGGTAATAAACCATCATATTTAACCCAGGTCCCCTAGAAGAGCGCCCAGTGTTCTTAACTGCTGAACCACCTCTCAAGATAAATCCCAAGAATTATTTTTTAGTGAAAATGTAGTGGATACTTCCTAATCAACAACACACTTATAAGCATTTTTCTGTATAAGCATATATATATATGTATATATATGTACATACATACACATGCATATATATATGCTATTTTGAAGTGTGACTAATGGTGACATCATTAGTATAAGGAAGCAGTGACTTAGGCTTTATGATCTGTACTTTGCTCACTAGGAGTATTACTGCATTGTAGGTGCTGGTCGTTACATGCCAGGTTCTTCTGCAGTTATGGGCACCTCCACGTCTGGAGTCGATCCATTTACAGGTAGCTACTTTAAATTTCCTTTTCTTTTAGATTTAAAAAATGTCATTGAAACTTTTTAGGCCTTAGCCTGGTTGTTAAGTTCTTGCATAGAATACATGCTGCCTTGCCTTTGATTCCCCAGTGCTGAAAAGGATTTTGGTTTTGGTTTTGTTAATTTGAGACACGGTCCGCTGTGGTGTCCACAAGCATATGTAATAACAAAAGACAGTTTTAAATGAAGAAATTTTAATTTGAAGTCATTTTATTCCACTGAATATTACTGAAATTTCAATTTGTGATAACTTTGTTTGTCCCAGCATCTCTATGTAACCCTGGCTGTTCTGGAACTTACTATGTAGACAAGGCCAGCCTAGAACTAAAAGAACCCTGCCAGCCTCTGCCTCTTGAGTGCTAGGATTAAAGGTGTGCACTACCACATCTGGCTGTTGGACCATTTTTATTAGTCATCCAATAACTGAGTTTTAATTAAGATGTTGTAGAAAATGATGACTACTGTATCATTTGAAATAAGCAATGAAGGACATGATGTAGATGTAACAGTCTTATTAAATAAGAAACACAGAGCCAAATGCAGAGTTAAAAGCCCAAGAGGTCAGAGTAGTAGCAAAGAGCTGATACTAAAAACCCTTTCTTACCCTTTGCTGCTGCTGCTGTCCTTCCCCTGAGAAAGAGACCTACTTCCTGTGTATCTGTCTTTTTATTGACTTTCTGTTTTGCCTTCTCATTGGTTGTAAACTCAACCACATGACATCCTCGTCACTGCCTGTCTTTACAGACCTCCAGGTCTTCTATGGTTGGTATTGAGATTAAAGGTGTGTATCTCCATGCTGGCTGTATCCTTGAACACACAGAGATCTTTCTGTCATGTGATTGGGATTAAAGGTGTGCGCCACCACTGCCCGGCTTCTGCTATGGCTTGCTATTAGCTCTGACCCCCAGGCAACTTTATTTATTAACATACAAATAAAATCACATTTCAGTACAAATGAAATATCACCGTAAGAAAAGAGCTAGCAGAATACTAATTAAGATGAGAATGAAGTTTCATACTTGTCTTGTTCTCTAACCTTTTTTAAATAGGTTAGGTTGAATCTTAAGAACAAAATTAGGAAATATGAGATAGGAACGCCCTTTTCCAAATCTTTGCTTCCATTTCTTGAGCCAGAAATGATTACATTGATAAGTACAAATGGTATTCAAAAGTTTGAATGGTTTGGAGGTGGCTTGCTGTTTTATTGCATGCCTTGAGTAATTACATATCTCAGTAATTGTGAGAACATAGTCATAAGATTAGAAAAATCAGGGGCTGGAGAGATGGCTCAGAGGTTAAGAGTACTGATTGCTCTTCCAGAGGTCCTGAGTTCAATTCCCAGCAACCATATGGTGGCTCACAGCCATCTGTAATGAGATCTGGTGCCCTCTTTTGGCCTGCAGGCATACATGCTGTATACATAATAAATAAATCTTTTTAAAAAAAGATTAGAAAAATTGCATTTTAGTATGTCTTATAATTTTCATGCTCTTCTCTGTAAATAGGAAGTAGTGCCTACCGATCAGCTACATCTAAAACAGTGAATATTTATTTCCCCAAAAAAGAAGCTCTTACCTTTGACCAAGCAAACCCTACACAAATATTAGGTAAGTCTATATTAATGTTTTTCCTTACATACTCAGTGGCCGTTAGAGATGCTCTCAAGACTTAATCTTCCTCCACGTGACATGTGCCAGGATTTGGCTACCTAAATGAATAGAGACTTCTAATGAGGTGGTTGTTAATTCAGCTGTGTTGACAGCAGTCTGGTAATTCAGCCTTAATGAATTGTAGGAAGTTGTGTGCAAATATAAAATGGTTTATCATGACTTTAATAGAAAACACCTTTTTGGGGAAAATGTAAGTCCCATCCTCAAGCTCCTGGGGTTTTGCGGGGGGATAAAGCATCTGAAAAATAAAAATAATATTTTTTTCTGTTTCTTTAAAGTACTTTTCTGCTTTGTAGCCCAGGCTCATCCCCAACTCCTGGTCTACCACACCCCACTTTAGAGGTCATATCTTTAAAAATAAATAAATGTCCTACACAAAGTGAACTTGGTGGTATTTTTGGAGTTTCTTTGTTTCATAATGCTTTTTCAGGGCTTTTATTTATTTATTTATTTTTACCTTACAAGTTTTTTGCATATGCATTATGGTTTCCGAATTTGTGTTTTTGTGTATTTGTGTTGGTGAATGTGTATATCTCTGTTCTTATGTATGTTTCCTGAGCTTTTCTTTCTCTTCTTTTTGCTTGTTTTGTCCTGTTGTGTTTGTTGTTGTTATTATTATTATTATTATTTTAGATGCTTGTTTGTAGCCTAATGAGAGAGAAAGGGTGTGGATTTGAGTGGATAGAAAAGTAGGAAGGATCTGGGAAGAGTTGGGTGTGGGGAAACATTTATAATAAGAATATATTGAAAAAAATCTATTTTCAATTAAAAAAAAAAGTGTCCTGTAGACAGAGTCAGTGTAAGGTGCTTGTTGCCACTCCTGAGACCCAGAGTTCAATTCTTGGAACCCATATGGAGGAAAGAGAATGGGCTGCATGTCATCTGACTTCCATACCGTTCCAAAGTCAAGAGTTTATTGTCCACTGTTTAATTGTGAACCTTGCATCTTGTATATGGAAATCCTAAAGCTTTTTAAGTGATGAATAAAAATAGATATTACAGGTGTTTGTAACATATAGGAGAAGGACACAGGAGGAGGACAAATTTAGGGCTATCCTGAATTATATATTGAGACTATCTGGGGAAGGGGCGCGGGCCAGGGAGCAGAGAGGGTGAGAGAGAAAAAATATGCTGTTTACTTTGATTGCTTTTCTGTTAGTTTTTCTCAAATTGAAGTGGAAAAAAAAATTTTGGACTATAAAATACTTTATTCCTTTGCTACAAAGCTGATGGTGAGAATTAATTGAGATAATACTTGTACCTAGACATAAGGCAGATACTTTTTTCATTATTATTCTTTATATTATTGTTACAAATGGCATTGATAGGCAATATTTTAAACTAAAAAGTATACACACACTTAAACATTTGTTAATTTTTATACAGATCTGATTTCTTGTTTTCTCCATTCCTTAAATCTTGTTTTCAATAATTTGCCAGTGTTAAAAACTAGTACCAAATACAAGTGAGATAGTCCAGTGTCCGTTTGTGATTGTTAAAGATTTGCAAATTTGGAGGCTGGAGAGATGGCTCAGCAGTTAAGAGCACTCACTGCTCTTCCAGAGGACCCAGGTTCAGTTCCCAGCACCCCTATGACAGCTCACAACTGTCTGTAACTCCAGTTCCAGAGGATCTGACACCCTCACACAGGTATACATTCAGGCAAAACACCAATGCACACAAAATCAAAAAACCTTTTTCAATTACAAAAGAAGATTTGTAAATTTGAAACTGGTGAGATGGCTCAGCAGGTAAAAAAAAGTACAAGCTTGATGATGTAAGTTTGATCCTTGGAGTCTGTGTGGTGAAAGGAGAGAACTGATGCCGTAGGTTGTCTTTTGACCATGTCATCGTGCAAACCATGCACATGTATGTCTGCATTCACACACATATCATACAACACACAAAAAGAATAGATAAATACCTTAAGTTATTACGAATTTGGGGGAAACGGGAGATGATTTATACATACGTGTGTGTGTGTGTGTGTGTGTGTGTGTGTGTGTGTGTGTGTGTGTGTAACTTACTGTTGCTTTGAAAAACTCAGAGCGGCTTCAAAGCAGGATCCGCGGGTCTCAGACAACAGCAGAACTAGTGCAGTTGCCTTTCTTTCACCTACACGTAAGTGCTCAGGCACTCATTTTAAGGGCTTGGATAATTGCTGAGAAGAGTGTTGCTGTACAGGAGAGTCTTCCTGAAAATGTCTTTTATTTATTGTTTGACTAAGTTCAGTTAGAGAATTTTGAAAGACTGGTTTTGGATTCTAGGAAAACTGAAGGAACTTAATGGAACTGCGCCTGAAGACAAGAAGCTAACTGAAGATGACTTGGTGCTTCTTGAAAAGATACTGTCTCTAGTTTGTAGTAATTCTTCAGAAAAGCCAACAGCCCAGCAACTTCATATTTTATGGAAAGCTATCAACTGGCCTGAAGGTAAATAAGTAGTCTTCAAATTTTAACCAGAAACTTTTATTTCTGCCAATAGTACTGATATTTCTAGATTAACTGAAAGTTATCCTGGATATTTCTAACGGAGATTATGAACAGTTATTCAGAAAGGCTTTGCCACATCACTATAATTCATAACCTTGCTTTAGTCACAGCCTATGAGAATCTATTGGTGTATATTTGGTATTCCTTAACTGAAACTTAGGAACCAGCTAATGTTTTAGAATTTGGTGTCTCTCAGAGTTTGAAATATTTCCATTGACTTTACTGATAACATGCATAACCTGAAAATCCAAAATCAGAAATTCTTATAGGTACTTAGTGCTAAAATGTTTGAGATTTTAGAATTTAGTATTTGAAATTCTCAGCCTATACTACTATGACCCCTATACAAACAGTAATCTGTAAGCTGTGTCATAGTGTCTCCTATCCCCTTCAGAAATTCTTTGTGGCCTGCTAACTCCAGGTTAAAAGCACTACTATTATTCTTCCTTTTGTGTCATTATCATATTTTTTTGAAAACCAAAAGATCCTCTCATGATTTTTACAAAACTTTGGAAATGTTCTTAATTATATGTGTATGGAAGTCGTGCCTGCACAAATGTCTGTGCACCACATGTATGCCTGGTGAGTGTGGAGGTCAGAAGAGGGCAACAGATCCCCAGACACAGGAGTTAGGATGGTCATGAGTCACCATGTGGGTCCTGGAAGTTACCTCGAGTCCTCTGCAAGATCAACAAGTACTCTAAACCACTGAGCATCTCTCAAGCCCATGACGTATGGTTCATGACAATTTATGGGGAGGGGGGAGGTTTTTTCTTTCCTCCAAAATAACCTTGTTAAATATTTAACTGTGCTTTGACTGGTTATTGTGTTCTATCACTGTATTTCCTTTGAGTGCCATAATTAGACTTTAGTTGATTAGGGTTGTTTTATTCTAGTGTGTGTGAAGATCTTTTATACATGATTGGCCTTTTATTATGGAGCATATACTGTCAGGTTTCCTTACATTCACAGTAAGACTATTGTTCAGTAAATGTTCACATGGCATCTACACAGCCCTCAGTTTCAAAGCTCCTACCAAAATTCTTCTCTAAATAATTGCCCTTTAACTCTTTAGCCTAATTACCAAATATTTAATGCTAGGCTCCCTACTGCATTCATTCATCTCATTATTGAATATTTAGTTGTGTGACTATTAGGCAATCTAAGAGTTAACTCAGTTTTGAGGCATATAGCAATAAATCTAGTCTATGTAAACATAAAAAACATTTTCACATTTCCTAAAAATGATTGTTTTGTAGTGGGAAAATAAAGTAAATTTGAATAATAACCATAAGAAATTTTCTAGATTTTTCATATGCATTAATGAGTATTTCTTTTTAATAGATATTGTCTTTCCTGCACTTGACATTCTTCGACTATCAATTAAACATCCCAGTGTGAATGAGAATTTCTGCAATGAAAAAGAAGGAGATCAGTTCAGCAGCCATCTTACCAACCTTCTGAACCCTAAAGGAAAGCCAGCAAACCAGCTGCTTGCTCTTAGGACTTTTTGCAATTGCTTTGTTAGTCAGGCAGGACAAAAGCTCATGATGTCCCGGAGGGAGTCACTGATGTCACATGCAATAGAACTGAAATCAGGGAGCAATAAGAACATTCATATTGCTCTGGCTACATTGACCTTGAACTATTCTGTTTGTTTCCATAAAGACCATAACATTGAAGGGAAAGCTCAATGCTTGTCAGTGATTAGCACAATCTTGGAAGTTGTACAAGACCTAGAGGCCACTTTTAGACTGCTTGTGGCTCTTGGGACACTTATCAGTGATGATTCAAATGCTATTCAATTAGCCAAGTCCTTAGGTGTTGATTCTCAAATAAAAAAGTATGCCTCCGTATCAGAGCCAGCTAAAGTAAGTGAATGCTGTAGACTTATCTTAAATTTACTGTAACAATGGGCAAGGGAAGCTGAGATTTTAAGTTGATTAATAGGGGTATTTTTTTTTTTTCACATTTTACATGACCAATTGCAGATGTTTAAAAAATAGAAAAGAGAGAAAAGAAAACAACTGTGGATTAAGTTCAGATCTTGTAAAGTTGTGTTGAGGAGAAAGAAATTATAAATAAAGTTTTTACACTGATGGCTGTGCGGTTTTCCTGTGTACTGGGGTAGATTTTCAAGGGTATAGAAACATTAAAACTATAATCAATAACAGCACAATTACAATGGCATTTTCTTCCTTACCTTAATTACTCAGGAGAACACAGAAGCTTTTCTTTGTATAAGCTGCTTCTATTTCTATATGACATCTTGTTCAGTTGACTGTTCCCTTTTTGTACATTAGCTTCTCCACTTCCTTTCACTGTTAGATTCTTTCAGTAGCATATTTCAAGGTCTTTTAGGATTTACTTGAAAAATAATTTTAGTTAAGTTTGTTATAAGTTGTAAATTGAAAAAATAGACAATAATTTCTTGAGCCATTTGTAAATAGAAAGTATCTTTCATGGTTCATTTTTAGATGAAGAAAGCAAATTGGTAAGCTGTAATTACATAGTAGTTCAGACAACTGAGGCCTTAAATGATTATGGGTTAGGATCACTAATTTTCTTTCACTATATGAGATAATTTCATTTTTCATTCACGTTTTGATATCTGATTATTTGGTCATTCTTCTTTACAAGTTAGATCATTTCTTTTGCCCTTCACCAAAATGCCATTCGTCATTTTTCATTTCAGCTTTGATATGATTGTATACTTGTTGGTCATCTTCATTACTTCAAAAAGAGTTTGGAATTTATTAACTTTAGACTTACTAGACAGTTGTGCAAACAACACATACCAGACTTTAAAGTCAAGAATCTGTTGTGTGAAATTAGTGGTTTTAGCCCCTAGAATGGTCCAGACACTACATTATATACATTGCCACTTAATTCTCAAGTCAGCTTTCTTTAAAAGGTAGTTATGCTTCTGTCTTCAAAAGGAAGGATAATAGAACAAATTATACTGGGAGGGGAAAAAGAAGGTCAGGGCAAGAGTACTCCATGCCGTCTGCACAAAGCACTTGCCATGGTGCGGCTTTCTAGACAGGAAGTCACAGACTTGTTTCTGAATATCTTAGCAACTAGAACAAAGTGGGAAATAATGTCCTTTCTTTTCCTTTTGGGTTTCTCAAGACAGGGTTTCTCTGTAGACCAGGCTGGCCTTGAACTCAGAAACCTGCCTGCTTCTGCCTCCTGAGTGCTAGGATTAAAGCCACCACGTGCAGCTCAATCCCTTTTCTTAAGAAGTATATTTATGTTGGTGTATGTGTGTGCATCTTGGTTTTGTTTGTTTTGTGGTGCTATCAAACCCAGGTGCATGCTGGGGAACCTCTGTCCACTGGATTACATTCCCAGCTCCAGTACTTCCATTTTTATTATGGAAAAAAAATGATTTTACAAGGACATTGCTTAAAATTGTGAGCAATGATCTCGACATTGACAGTATGGAGAATCATGGGGTTTCCTGACTTAATGCCATATTGCAGTCCAAGAAGGACAAATTTTTTTCCACTAAGGGGAAGAAAACCCTGAATGGTTTAGATTAATCCAGGGAAGAACTTGTAAGGGAGTGAGGAATTGTAAATAGGTGTGTATACCTTATTAAGTATTAAATTGCAGTTTCCTGTGTGTACCTAAACTTTAAACTTTATGTTGCTGGTTCATTTATGTACTTGTGCTTTACTTTTGTTTAATTGAAATTTAAATTGTTACATCAAAATTAAATGGTAAAACGTAAATCACCCTGGTTTTATTATAATATGCTGCTTGTTAATACATCCAATCTAGCATGCAATTTTAAGTACAATTTATCTTATATTTTGAAGACTGGGTGGGTACCTTTGAAAAAGGGTTGGGTGTATTCTTATTTAGAACGTGAGTTCACTCTTCAGAATGTAAGAGGTGGAAAATTGTAAATACTTTGTTTCATATCACTGTCTTTTTTTATACCAGTTTTTATTATTTGTACAGTTCAACAAAAAGATAATCTCACTTGAAGAACCTGTTAAATAGTGGTTTAAAATTTTGTTTCCCTTTAAACTTTTTTATAGATCTCTTAATGTTTTCTCAAATATAAAAGAAATAAACATTTAGTAAAACATACACACCTCATTGACTGTAATACTACTATAGAACCATTCTTAGCGAGCGTCTTATACTGTATTGACATGTATGTAAACGTGCATTTTATTTTTTCAAAAAGGAATGTATTATATGTACTGTTCAGAAACTTTATTTAATATTCCATTATATTATACCCATTTTCTATTATCTGAAACTTTCCTGTTTTTGATTATCAAGCAATGCTATTAAAGATCACACAACACTCTTACCGTTTCCTTAGAAATACATTGTATGCAAGAAATTGATGAATCAAATTAATAGGCAATTTTAAACTGATAACTGTGTCTAAATCAACCACACAGGGGTAATTCCAGATTAGTGGATTAGGGGGATTGATGGGAATGGGGATTAAAAAGGAGATGAGAGGACAGTGGAGTGCATGTAATTGGAATGCGCGCACACACACACACACAGGTACGCATGCTTGCACGAGTACTCAAGACACTGAGAACAAGTGACCATAGAGTACCCAGCTCTAAACAGGTTATCTATATTACCCTGTCCAAGGCTTAGAAAATATACACACATATAAAATTGTCAATGTGTTTTAAAAATTTAAAAGACAGACTGGTTGTAGCTCACTGCAAACCAGTGTGTGGGCGTTCCTCTGCAGGCTTTAGAGCAGCCAGGGAAAATAATCCACAGAGGCAACCAGTGCTGGGCCAGGACTGCTAGAGTCTGGCTCAGTCATTTTACTTTAGCCATACAGCACAATTTTGGGAAAAAGTATTCAGGTAACTGTGGTGATAATTTGTTGTACTCTAATAAAGCTTGCCTGAAGATCAGAGGTCAGGCAGTGGTGGCATACACCTTTAATCCTTGCATTTGGGAGGCAGGGGCAGAGATTTCTGTGAATTCAAGGCCACACTGGGCTACATGAGATTAATCCAGTCTGAAAGAGAAACAGCCAGGCAGTGGTGGCACACACCTTTAATTCCAGCACTTGGGATCACACACCTTTAATCCCAGCACTAGGAAGTTTGAAATAGGAAGTGATATGGCTGGGCAGAGAAAGGAATGTAAGGCAGGAGGAGACAGGAACTCACTCTTGACAGGTGCTCTTTCAGGCTGAGGAGTTGGTGAGCTAAGAGGCGATGGCTGCGGCTTGCTCTGCTTCTCTAATCTTTCAGCTTTCACCCTGATACCTGGCTCTGGGTTTTTATTATAAGACCATTTAGGATTTATGCAGTAGGTAACAACTCGGCCCCATGAGTACAGCAAAGCTTCAGACATGTTTATATTGAAGTTCTTAGCAAAGTACATATGGCTTCATCCATAAGATGGTTTCTAGTTGACTTAGAAACAATGCTGAAGATAAGGGTCTAGGGAGAAGGACTGAGGTAAACAATGCCTGTGGAGTGAGAATTGGTCTGGCCCTAAGATAACATAGAAGTCACTTAGGCTGTTGTAAAGCCCAAGTGACAGCTCTCATAAGGATGGCTTTTATGGCCTCAAAGCAATGCTCAAGACTTAGGAGGAAGGGGTCTGAGATAAGTAAATTCTGGGAGATAAAGAAGGCGCCTGTCTCATCAGACAGCAAAGGCTCACCAGGTTGTAAAAGTATATCCTTCCTGGCATCACAGGAAGAGCAGCTGCACACCTCATTCCATTGAAGAGGTAAGCTGTGTGTTCAACTTTCCTGGCCTCTCCAGTGCTTTTCTGTGTGCACAGGCCTTTTTGCCCTCTACACTAATGTGTGCACACATGTGTGAACATAGGCACGTCAGACATTTATTACCTCATATTGTGTCAGGAATCTTGAGACAGGTGCAAACTGAATCCTCCTTGTTTCAACTGAGAGTACAATCGAGGTATCAGCAAAGGCTGGCGTCTCCGTTAAGGACTAGGGAAGCATCAATTTTCATGTCCACTTGTTTGGTGTTGCATGATTTTGGGGTCTTTGAATCGATGAACTCAAATCCTAATTACTTGTTGGCCAGAGAAAGCTGTCCTTTATTTACCAACATAAGAATTTGTTTCATTAAAGCAACAAGAGACAATGCTAGCAGGACCGTACATAGCTGGGATCTTTATAAATCTAATCACAGAATTGACATCTCTGAAACATTAAAGATATTCTTTTGGTTGGAAGCAGGTTACTTGAGGGGATTGGATAACTTAAGGCTGTGAGTACTAGGGGGAGAATTGTGTAGGACCATACTGGAATCTGCTTATGACATCTTCATTTCCTATAAACTGATAGCTTGGTTACAGTGAGGTTAAACTATTGGCAATGTTTTGCATGTGATATATATCTGCTATTTTGACTTGATTCTATAATATATGAGATATCCTTTGGGAGTAAAATAACCTTCAGAATAAGTTAGTGCAAGCTTTAAAAGCCATCCTGAGAAATAGGTATCTCAGTATTTATCTTAGGACCTAAATGAGGTGCTGAGGCTTTTAATTTGTCTGTGAACCACAGCAATTATTTCTGATGCCACAACACTTCAGTTCCTGACTGACTGTACATGTTCTATGGAAAATTAGTTTAGAAATAATGGCCTCCATAAAAGAAAAATATTTAAGGAACTTGGCTCAGCTAGAAGGTGCACAGAAAGGCTGGTTACCTGTTAATCTTGAACATCACATTTACAAGGTAACTGGCGTCTGTAGCCCTAAGTTTTCTCAGGTCCCACCTGGCCCTGCGGTCCTGCAGCTGCTTATAAAATAATCATTCAGAGGCTTATGTTAATTATGAACTGGATGGCCTATGGCTCAAGTTTCTTGCTAGCTAGCTCTTATAACTTAACCCATTTATATTAATCTATAAATTGCCACATGGCCATGGTGTTATCTGACTGCTGGCATCTTGCTGCTCCTTGGGTGGCAGCTGGTGTCTCCCCTTGCTCTCCTTTCTCCTTTCACTATCTCTCTTGGATTTTCCTGCCTGGCTCCATCCTGCCCTGCCATAGGCCAATGCAACTTTATTTACCAACCAATCAGAGCAACACATGTTCACAACATATAGAAAGATATCCTCCAGTACTTCTTTTTTATCTAGTCAAAAAGGAAGGTTTTAACTTTAACATAGTAAAACTACATAAAATAGAACAGTTATCAAGCAGGAATTACAGTTACAATATCTAGTCTATTTGTATTTGGCAAAATTAAAGAAAATATTCCATCTATCCTATATTTGTGAGTCTAAGGTTTTATATCTAATTTATCTTCTATTATAACCAAATAAAATTATAACTGTTTAGTTTTCAACTACATCAAAGACCACAGAAGGATACAATATTACCTAAGTAAACAGGAGGTGCATTGTAAGCAACTTCCAAAAATCTAGAATGACAGAGACAGCTGGCTGCCGGGACAGTTACCCAAAGTTCTTCTGCAACATTGGGGCATCCATCTTCAGCCTGTAGGCCTAGAGGTTTTTAGTCACTTCTCCCTGTGTCCTGTAAAATATCTGGCGATCTCCTCTGTGAAGCAGGAACCTGAAGGACCATCTCACCTTGTTTTGGCAAAATTTGGTGGTCATTTTTCTATGAGTCCTGCATGTCCAGTCTATATAATAATGCTGTCAAAGCAGTCTAAGCAAGAGCAGTTCTTTGCCCAGCAGACCATTTTGTGCCAAGAAGAAGATAAACTCCATATGGAGTATCTTCGATGTCCATCTTTCTCTTTGAAGTAAATCAGTGCTGCCAGGAGCAGGCATGTCTCATTGTCCAGAAAGTCTAAGCTTTTAAAACATTTTAAATGCCATATTCTGTAAGTCTTTGAAGTGTTTGAAGATTACCTACCTAATTGAAATATACCTTTATATACCTAAAAAATTAGCTAACATGGTTATTGATTATCCTAGATGACTATTAATCTGTATTTCTTAATTATATATTACAATTTTAAATGAGCTGCATAAACATAATACCTTAATCAAGGATAGAAATGTATATACAGTATAACAACATTAACTTTATAAATTTGTAACAAACTAAAATCTATAGCAATGTAAACATTTTAAACAAGTTGTTGCTCTTTAAAAGTAGATTGATGGGATTTCTTTCTGTACACTGTGAATGTGTGTTGCTCTAATTGTTGATAAATAAAACTGCATTGGCCTATGGCAGAGCAGGATGGAGCCAGGCAGGAAAATCCAGGAGAGAGAGTGAAAGGAGAAAGAAGAGCAAGGGGAGATGCCAGCTGCCACCCAAAGAGCAGCAAGATGCCACCAGACCAATAACACCATGGCCATGTGGCAATTTATAGATTAATATAAATGGGTTAAGTTATAAGAGCTAGCTAGCAAGAAACTTGAGCCATAGGCCATCCAGTTTATAATTAACATAAACCTCAGAATGATTATTTTATAAGCAGCTGCAAGACTGCAGTGCCGGGCAGGACCTAAGAAAATGTATGGCTACAGGGGTCCTGAAACATAAGAGTCAACTCAAGGGTGACACCCACCTTGAGGGAGTTAAGATCACAGGCAGCAAGGTTGACACACATCCCTTCTTGGTCACAGTCAAAGGACCAGGAAATTGTTATGAAATCCCTTTACATTATGTGAAGATATATCTCTGTGATTGGTTTAATAAAAAGTTCAATGGCCAATAGCTAGGCAGGATTTTAGGGCAGAGAGGATGCTGGGAAGAAGACAGAGTCATCAGCCAGACATGGAGGAAACAAGAAAGCAGCTTGGACTGTACATAGTAAAGGTAATAAAGCCATGAAGCAGAAAGCAAATTAACAGAATTGGGTTAATTTAAGTTATAAGAGCAAGTTAAAAACAAGCATAAGCTATCAGCTGAACTTCCAAAGTTAATAGTAAGTCTCTATATCATTATTTGGGGGAGCCAATGGTTCTGAAGAAAAATCACCTACAAATGGTGCTGAACATGGGGCATGTATTTCAACATAAAACCTGAGAAAGCTTGAAAAAAAGGGTTCCAAACACAAAAAAATGGAGCCAAACATGGCTTCCTAGTCTGCATTCTCTCCTCATGCAGGCCATGGTATAGAGACAAGCCACTGCCTGCGGGCTTGAGCCACTAGTGTGCCATGAGCTAGCTGTGTAGAGGTTTGAGTTTTGTACATGCAGACAAAAAGGGTTACAGATATGCATTAAAGCAGGCTCAGACAAAAACAAGCAAACCTCTAAACGGGTTACAATGTGTTTAAAAATATGCATAGGCTTAAGAAAGAAAAGAAAATGGGTGTAGACAGTCAGAAAAAAGTAAATCATTTATAAATTATAAA